ATGCACAGGGCGCTCTATGACCCTCATTGATGGATCGCCCTAAAGCTTCTTCTGACTACTGCCAAATAAAACAGGACTCAAATCCTACCGTTTCCACGGGATCCCATTCGACCAGAATCGTAACGTTGTCCAGCGCTTTCCATTTGAGACTTTCCACAGCCTTCTGAAGGCGGAGCTGGAGGCGTTTTCACCCATGTAGTTGGCGCAGATGGATCGCCCAAAGTCGATGTGTCCACCGAACGAACTCGGAACTGAAGGAAGAGTTACTAAGTAATCAACGATGAGGATCCTGTCGAATTCCCGAGCCCAAAAATTCAAATTCTGAGTATTCAAAATTGGCACTGCGTCAGGACTCCTTTGGCGCTCACCTGGTATAAAGTGTTGGGAACAAGATCGCTCAGTGTCACACTTTGTGGTTCGCTCTCGGCCACAACTTCTCGAGGCGCTGGTCGCCATTGACGATCTTCCTTCGTCCTTAGCTCCACCAGGTAACCGCCGGACGCTTCATTCTGCAAGAGAACTGTTAGAAAGTCCAATTGTATAAGAGAACACGACTTCATTCACGTTTGAATGTTAAATGACTAGCAATCCGAAAATATTTTTCACCCATTAAACAAATAGAGGCGCTATGTTATTAAGGGGGCATTAAAAACAGGGCATTTGAAAACCGCTGGTAAGAGACACTAGGACTAAGCCCAAAAGAAGAGAGAAACATTAGGGAGAACAAAGGTTACCCACGTCCTCCCCCAGAATCCCTTCCACTCCTTAAGGCTTAGTCGCATGTTCTGCAAGTCGCTTCGATGTCCCCCTCCCCCATCTAACGGCATCAGCGCCAAAATTAATAAATAAATAAATAAAATTGATAAATGAATAGGTCTTACTTCTCCACTAACGGCGTGATTTCTCGTATCCCTGTGAGTATTCGTTTTTCTCCATGCTAATCGTACTTTCTCTTGATCTTGTTCAACTTTCAGTGCAAGAGGAGCTGGCATAGGCGGCCGAGGCTGGACATCCACACTATCTTCACCGTACAGAGAATAGCAAGCGATCTTCTGTGGTCTAGAAGCTTTTCCTGAAGCGGATACCTGAAAAGTTGAATGTGGTGGTTATGAACTGAATGATAAATTTGCTAAAGAAGTCAGAAACGTAAAGTTGCTCTTGAGCCCAACTTCCCATAGAGTAATCGCTCTAGAAGTAGAAAAAGTCATTTATTTTACTATTCATTAATTTTTATCTGAACATCTAGGGGCAGTCCGTGTGAGGGACTCGATCAGGGGAACAGAGCCAACTCTTTAGTCAAGGTCAACTATCCGATAAAAAAAACCATGAAATTGGAATCTGACACTACATAGGATCCATCAGCCAAATATCCGAGCCTTAAAAGGCAGGATTGCACGGAAAGAACGAAGGTCGAAGAAGGGAGAAATCGCCTAGTGGGGAGAGCGGTGAATCTCTTGAGGGTGCGGACAGACACGCAATCGGCATCGAAAGATTTGACCAAACACGGAGAGAAAAAACACAACAAAAGCAACAGGAGAAGAGGACGGAAGTCCAGGGTAACGAAACAAAGGATTTGACCTCTGAGATCTAGCATGGCTCAAAGTTGGCGAGTTCGGCGATCTCCGCCCACCGATCGTCTGATCACTCGCCGTAGTACAATAGGTGGCGAGTGATTAGATAGCTGAGAGAGCGTAGGGTTGAAGAGGGCAAAGCGATGAGAGTCCCATCAATGCTCAAATCAACGGACAAGGAAGGGGTCCCATTTCTCCGGTTCTGGGCCGTTTTTCGTGGTTTCGCTTTCTTTCTGGTACTACTCACCATCTCTACCTCAATTTGGAATGGGTTGCTTTTCCATCGTAAATTCGTCCTTTAAAGGCAGTTCAAATGGCTGTAGAGCGACTGCGCGTTTAATGTTTATCAACTCAAAGCCACTGGTGGAAGGGTGTTAAGAGGCGATCCCAACAACCGTTAACTTTCAGTGACGTGATAAAACCGTACCGTGCTTCAGGGATTCTGATCGCTGCCTTTTTCCGCTCTCTGGTCCTTTCTGGACGAATCCTATTGGCCGTCGTGTCCATTCATACTAAAAAGTGGTTCCTCGCTCTCAACTGAGCAAGGCAGGCCCTGAGAGACCCATCCACTGTTGACAAACTGCGAAAAGCTTATCTTTCAAAAACCCCCAATGGTATGAGAGATGGAGCAACCACAAGTGTGCCAGCGCGCCCTTTGACTGATTGAGAGCTTAGGAGAAAGAGAGCCACGGCGCCAAGTCGCGCTCGTCACGACGACGGTATATTAAATCACCTCATGAAAAACACGCATCTCCTGAACATATGCGCAGGTTCTTTGGGACTATTGCGCATTACCCATTGGTTGCATCCTCCATTCCAGAGGGAACGCATCATGGGAGGGGTGATGCTCAAACAGGCTCCGGGTGCATGTCAAGGAGGTTTCTCTATTGTTTCTTGGAATGAAACCACATAGTTGCAGAATCGTACTCGCAATGAATGAGTATTGGTCGTCTGCTCTACGATCACTCCTCCCTTAGTAAGACTCAATTCCTTAACCCATTCGTGACAATGGCAGCCACCGGTGGCTGACAAAGATCTCACTCGGGACAATGGCATTACTGTGGCTGCCGGGTTTCAAATGGAATTTGGAAAGTTTTCTTCCATGAAAAGAATCTTCATACCCTCATTCATCTACGCCAGCCCTGGGCAGAGGAAATCTCCATCCACTCAAATTTTATTGAAGAAAAATCTCCTGACTCTCTGCTATGCGCAATCCGCGCGGTCGCGAATGGGTTAATGCAGCAGATAATAGGCGAAAGAGATGTAGCGCCAAGTGGCGCTGCTTTCCACGAGCACGGCCACAGATCGGTTTCGGGGTGGTACGCCGTTAGTCCATCGCGTCTCCCATCTCAGATTGTTTCATTAATACCAGACTGTATGGGAGGATAAAAGCACATTTTGCAAACGATTTGTACATCGGCTAGTCCCCCAAGTCACTGTTACAACTGAAACCCCTTCTAATGTAGGAGATAATTTCTAGGGATTACCTGAAGATCAACTTCTTGGACAAGATGACGTCCCTGCTTGGACTGACGCGTGTGCTCACGGAACTGAAGCAAACAACTTAGGTTAGGTTGAATTTCCAACGAAATTCCGCTATAGTGTTTGAAATGGTACCTTAGTCTTGAACTGCATCCCAGGCAGAGACTGTAGTGACCGGTTATCGAATGTCCACTTGAAAAACGCCTCTGGACACTCGGATCCTAGCCCACAGTCAATCTCCACTGAACAGGAGATGTTCATGGTGTCTTCAGGGGCAGCGCCCACATCCACAGAATCCACTCGCACCTGTGCTCGATCTGAAGACATTCGAATTAATACTGTCAGACATAACGTATGGAAAACGAAGTGTGATACCGTACCCACAACAACCAATTCCACCTGAGCATGTGCTTTGCCGAATCGATTATGGGCGGTGCAAAAGAAGTAGCCGGCATCATCTGAAAAGTCGCATAGCATTGGAAAGTGTAATTTTAATGAGATTTTTTTCATTAATACAAACAATAATTTTCATTTCATTTTCATTTTTTCCATGCAACACCTTGAAAAACGTTACCATGTACTATTGGCTTCAAGCAGTGAGCAACGTACCAACTAGCCAGACTGGGAGACTTCATCACCTAACCCTCTTCCCTCTTTTGCATACATATTTTTCACAAAACCAAGGATGACGCCATTGCGATCATGTACAGTAATCCACGGCTTCGAAAATAATCGATATCGGCTCCGAGAAAGACTAGCTACGAAAAAACTGATGTCATTCTCTGCTGTGTGTGTGCATTGCCAATTACTGGCTGACTGCATCAGTGTTATCGAATAGCACACGTACCAATTTTTTCGCATAGCAGGCGTA